CCCCCCATGGTCTTAAATCAGAACTGTGCTTTTCTAATTATTTCATCACAGAAGGAAAATAACATACTTGGCTCTGTAAAACTTTTAATAAGTTCTTCCATAGCTAACATCCATGAAACTGCTAGATGACAGTTTTGCAGAAATACCCAATTTCCTGTTTTCAGTGCATCCTTTATCATCTTTGCTGCAATAGGTCCTTGGCCTTGCCCGTCTTAAATCAGAACTGTGCTTTTCTAATTATTTCATCACAGAAGGAAAATAACATACTTGGCTCTGTAAAACTTTTAATAAGTTCTTCCATAGCTAACATCCATGAAACTGCTAGATGACAGTTTTGCAGAAATACCCAATTTCCTGTTTTCAGTGCATCCTTTATCATCTTTGCTGCAATAGGTCCTTGGCCTTGCCCTAGTGAGATTGACTCCAGTCTGAAATAGAGTAAATACTGTTAAAGTTCTTACTGCATATACTTTAACACGCAGTGAATTTCAAAACAGTAGGATTTCAGTATTTATATTTAAAAAAAATATTTGCCAAAATGTCCAAACCCGGGTGTTGAAAATTAGGCTTCTTGGCCCGTTTAGACCTCAAAATGAAAGGATATATAGCAGCATGAAGAACACACTATCTCTGAAAGTCACACTGAAACACTAGTATAGTATATAGTTTGTAGAACTACATCAATTAACTTTAATATATATTCCCATATAAAGAATTACATTCCAGCTTCATTGAAAATAATGATAAAAATCTCATTAACTTCAATATAGCCAGGGTTTTACCCAGGGGGCATGTGCTACAGCGTAAATTAACAAAAAAAATAAATATGCTGGAAAATCAGATTGGTATTTTTGAAGAGGCCTAAGAGAATTAGGGGCCTAATTTCCATTAAAATCCTAATTCTTCACTGTAACAAAGTTATGTAATTCATACCGTTCTGAATATCCTCGCTCTTTTGCAAACCTCTGAAAAGCTCCCATGGGATCAGAGCCTGTGCTTAAGATAAATACTAGAGGAGTGGAAGAGGACATGTCTTGATAAAGAGTTCCCAGGTCAACTGGGGGATTCTCTATGAATTGTTTTCCAAGATTTTCTATTACAAACTCAGTCAGTGCAGAGACAACCTGTAGATATGAAAACACACTAATTTATATAAACAAACAGAAAAAGTTAGTTGACATTAGACAATAAGCACTTCCAGACTGCAGGTTTAAGTTTTTATTTGTTTGGACAGTACCTAGCACAATCAGACCTGTTTCCATTGGGGCCTGTCCTACTGCTATAATACAAATAGTAGAGTCAATAGTGAAAAATAGAGCAAAGCTCCAAGATGCAAGTCTGAAACTATTGTAATTCCTTCAAACAACCTCCTTCACATACTCACAAACAGCAAAAGACACAGCAACTTATTAACTCAAAGAAAAGCCAAAATTAGTGATTCATTGATTTGGATCACTGTCCCCAATTTGATTCAGCTGAAGCCAAATCTGAAGATTCAATGCTGATTTGGAGAATCAGCAATTCGGCCATAGACATAGCTTTAAATGTTTTTTCTACATACCTCAAGGTACCAGGTGCAGCTCATGAACACTGCAATGCTAGGGCAGATGGAGTGTCCCACAGGAGTATGGGGGGCCCCCCGCATGCTCAGTGGTGAGCCTGAAAGTAGACCAGAAGTATTTCCTGTCCACTTCTGGGTCCACTGCGGAGCACGCAAGGGGCCCCCCTGTGCCCCCTGCAGCTCAGCAATTGGCCATGGGGGGACCCCAGGAGCCCCCCCAGACCCAGGATGCAGCAGTCGCCAAGCTGGGCAGGGTGCGGGGGGCCTCCGATGTGACCCCAACAGACCCAAAAGTGCATCGGAAGTGATTCTAGTCCACTTCTGGGTCTGCTGCCAAGTGCACTGGGGAGACCCCCGCACTCCTGTGGGATGCTCCATCCATCCCACCATCGCAGCATTCACAAGCCACCTGCTACCTAGCAGTATGTAGAAGAAACATTTAAAGCTGTGTCTATGTCCGAATCTCCAAATGATTCTGAATCCCTCTGAATCAATTTGGAGGGTTCCGATTCAATTTGGAGAGATTAAAGGGTCTCCTGATTTAATATGGATTTGGAGATTTGGCCACCGAACGGGGCCGAATCTCTACCGAATCAAATCAGGGACCGAAGCTTTGCACAGCCCTATTCACACCAGAAGTTCAGACAGTATTGTAAGAACTGGCACACTAAAACAAACCATAATCAATACATACAAGCATGTGAACCACTGAATTCAAAATTTCCATTGCCTCTTAAAATTCCTAGACTTTGCAGGCCTCATATGGAGTCGTATTCTATTCCATCTATTAGGCACGTAAGTGAAATTTTATTCTACTCTGCTCAGTTTACTGAAAAACTGTTAAATCAAAATGTGGGTGGGTCTTCCTTCTTGCTGTTTTTTTTTTTGAGACTCAGATTTAAGAGTAAAATAACAGTATGTCACAATAACTGATATACTAATGTATTTTCAGGACTTGAACAGGGTGGAATAGGATCACACTTGCATGTGTAAGTAGAATTAGATGCCCAACAGGTAAAATGGAATTTGGCCCACAGTGTATAAATGAATACAAAGGGGCAGATGATGCCTTATGTAAAGAGCTTCCTACAAATTAGCTAGTACTAGTCTCAGTCCCTCTACATGAAGGAACACAGGTTGGGGCAGAGTGGCCTTCTGTTCTCTTCCTGTTTGTCTAAGTGCCCAAATTTGATCATCTACATGACATTTTAGCACTTACACACACACACACACACACACACACACGTAGGAATTGTATTCCTGGCCACAAAGCTGTATGTGCATAGACAAATTCTCACACAGGCGTGCGCGCGCACACACACACACACACACACAGAGCTGAATGAGTAAGATAGCTATTGGGATGAAAAGATGGGAAGTGAGTAGCTAGGTCTCTTCTCTGGGAAACCGGAGAGCTTGAATTCTAGCATTCCCCCAACTTTGCCCAGAGGGTCTGAATCTGGGTGTCTCCGACTTCCCAGCACAGAGCTCTAGCTAGCATGCCATAGGTCAGGCATTATGCGTGTCCTCCTGCGGCACTTTTTTTTAAGCTGAGCCACTATGAACATTGGAAAAAATGGATGCAGGTTAGTGCAGTGAGGAAGCTTCTGCCCTTCATTGGGAGCAAGCACAGGCTAGAACCCAGGACTCCTCTTTTAGGCCAGTAATCCTCTCACTGATATGCATACCCTCTGGTTTGATTTTTTCTTCTTGGCCCTACATATCTCCCATATGCCTCTTTCTCACTGGCTGGGCTAGGGGACTGTTTCAAAAGGAGTGCCAGAGAAGGCACTGGATAATGGGTGACCTGTGGTGTGCTGGCTAAAATATTGTGTTGAGAATTCAGAGTCCTAGGTTCAAACCTGCTCTGGGTGCAGTAGGGCCTAGAACTCAGCTTCTCTGCCTTGCCAGGAGAGTGCCCTAGCTACAGTATGAATCCACAAGGGGGGGGTAGCATTTATGCCCTGGCTATGAACACAGTCAGTGTATAACCTGTTCCACATGCACAGTTTGTGTACATATGCAATCATAGGAAAGTAGGGCTAGAAAGCAGGACCATGTGTGTTTGAAGCAGGATCATTGCTGACCAAACCAGTCTAGGGTCTGTTTAACTTGTCCTTGAAAACTTCCAGGGATGGAGATTCTGCAGCTTTTCTAGGTAGCCTGTTCCAATGTCTAACTACCCTAATAGTTAGAAACTCTAATCTTCATCCTTAATCTTCTCTGCTGCAGTTTGTGGCCATTGCTCTTAATCCTACTCCCTGGGCCCATGGCGCATGTTACACTTAGGATGTCATTAACATCTTAAGTAATTAACCTAGCCATAGGTTCATTCAATTAACGGCACCATAAAACAGGGAATAAGCCACAAAGTTATTACAAAATGTATGTGTAATAAAATTGTAGATGGTTCCCAACATGCCATAAATTGAACTTGTGGCCAGCTTGCCACTTTTGGGGTCCACTCGCTCCCACAGCTGGGAGCCATGGTCTATTGACCTGGGCTTCCAAATGGACAGACACCTCTGTTGGTACAGGGAACCCAGGATTGTGATCCTGAGCTACCCCTGCACTGACAATATGGCATTATTGGGATCTGATCCCCAGTTCCACAACTACATATTTTTTTCCAGACTAAATAATGCTAGTTCCTACAGGCTTTCCTCATAAATCATTTTTTCCAGATTTTTAATCATTTTGTTGTTCTCTTTTTTGAGTCTGTCTAATCTGTTCATATCTTTCTTGAAGCGTGGGACCCAAAACTGGATGTAGTATTCCAGGTGAGGCCTCATTAGTGACAAACAGAGAAGAATCACTTTCCTTGATTTACAAGAGAGACTCCTGTTAATTGAACCTGGTATGCTATTGGCTTATTATTATTATTTTTAAACAAGAGCACGCAGTTGACTTATATTCACCTTATGTTCCACTGTAACCCCCAGGTCATTCTCTGCTGTATTTCAGCCTAGTCAATCATTCCTCATCTGTATTTGTGCATGGGATTATTTTGTTGTAAGTGCAGGACTTGGCCCTTGTACTTGTTGAATTTTATTTGATTGACAAGTCCACCCTGGATCCTAGACATACCCTCTAGAATGATTGCAACTACACCCAAACTGGTGTCCTCCACAAATTTGCTAAGCATGCACTCAATCCCGTCATCATCCAGATCATTTTTATTGTTTAACTATATCACTGGACTGAGAACAGACCCCCTGAGAAAGCACCTCGATACATCCTCTCAATTAAACACAGAACCTTGATGACTACTCCTTGAACACAATGATCCAACCAGATATGTACTAACCTTACAGTACCATCATCTACTCCATTATTATTTTAGCATATTAATGAGAATGTTGCGGGTGATGATCTCTAAAGCCTTGCTAAAGTCAAGGTATATCACATCTCCCTGTAGTGGGACCTGGCCCTCAGGGGTGGGACACCCTCTGATGCCCAAGTGACTTCTGCCTCACTCCAGCTCCTTTGACTACCTTGCCTTTTGCCTTCACATGCAATATCTTGATGGAACTTAGTGTTAGGAAGGTTGCCCCATAGTCCCAGAGTGAGCCTTAGTTTATCTTAGCCAGCTGGTACTTTCCTTGCCCAGCTGGCCCCAGTCTTGCCCCTCAGGCACTAAATTGTGGCTCTCCTGGCTCAACCAGTGGCTCAGGGAACAAGTTGCCTTAAGGGGTATATTCATAGCCTCCATCCTCCCCTGCAGACATTACCATGCCTTACAGGTGTTACTTTGGGTTCCATCCACTGGGTCCCCAGGCCCTGTCTGTCACAGTCCGCTCAGCCTGCTGGGACCCTGGCTCTGGCAAGACTCTCTCTTCTCCCTGGGACCCTGGTCCTAGTTTAGCTTCTGCCCCTTTTGGGCTTCAGCCCTTTTCACCAAGCTTTAGTCCTCTTCGCCTAAGCCTGTTCAGGTTTCAACTCTTCCCTGGCTTTAACCTCACTACCATGGCCTTAACCCTCCTGGCCTTGGCCTAACTCCATCAGCTGCCTGGGCCCCTGGTTCCAGGTTGGCTGCTGTTGCTTCATACCAGCCCTCAGTATTCTGGGTTCGTAAACCCAGGCCAAGCTGCCTTCACTATGTGTGCCCTTAGCCCTTCCGGCCTTGGTCTAAGTCGTAGCTCTGCACCAGCCTGGATCTCTCTGGGACCCAGACCCCAGGCTAGGCTGCTATCAGAATGGAAGCCAGGCATCCCTCTGTGGCTTCCATCCTCCCCTTCAGCCACAATCTGGTCCTTCAGTCAAACTTAAATGCAACATAAATACAAGCAAAATGCCTCCAAACTAAAGTGCAACACAATGCTGGGTCAAAGCCATACTTCCTTCTCCCTTAGCATTCTCCTTCATGCTCTCCCAGGTAGCTTGGGTGTCTGCCAGTCTGTCTCCTGCATCCCCTCTCCTCGGGAGCTCCTTTCTCTGTAACATGCAGGGCTAGATTGCCCATCTGGTTTCAGGCACTGGCTTATGTAGCCTAAGCCCAACCACTTCCTTTCAGAGAATCATAGAAAATTAAGGTTGGAAGGTCATCTAGTCCAAGTCCCTGCT